TTCTAGTTATGATTAGTAAGGTCCATCAGTTACGGTTGTGAGCATGAATACTCACCGATGAGATTGGTTGGCGGTTGAGCTTCCGATCACGAATTGGCAGAAGTTAGAATTCATGGGCCATTGGATCCCCGCCGCTGGGGTCGAATGGCCAACCAACCACCCCGGCTTGTAACTTGAAGGACTGTGGTGATGGGGTTCTAGGTGCACACTGCTGAAGTGTCCTAAAAGAGGACGCGACAGTTGCCCAGCACTCCATCTGGTTTTCAGTGGTTATTCAAATGATGGCAGTTAGTGATCAAACGACATACATATATATATATACATATATCTTTTGAAACTAGTTCTACCGTGAAATAATAATCAATAATAGTATAAATAGAAAGCCCGAAACACAATCGATTTCTTTATTGATTTTATTGACCCCTTTATCTAGTTTTTTATGCAGATCCATAAAAGTATGGTTATTCTTAGTACTCGATAAAAAAACAAATGTCACAAGAGATTAATTTATTAGGAATTTCAACGTGGACATATTTTATCAGTAAAATAATTAACTACAAGTGTGCGTATGTAACATCAGGACCCTTCGCGGAATCGGACAACGGGCCTCACTAGCTAAAACTCTAGCATCTGCAGTTATAGATGTATGTTGCGTTTTGGTAATATGCATACAAGCCCCCCCCCCCCAACTGTCCGAGATGATGAATCTACTGTCAGGACATTATTCGGCTACTTCATGTGGACTTGCTGGTGCAGAAATAATGTCGTGCATTAGGATGAAAAACTCGCTACTTGAATGAATACTAGTGGACAGTTGTACATGTGCTATCCAATTGAACTAATCTATGAGAGGCAAAGATTGGCGACACTCATAGATGTCTTTTCATATAATCTCTGATTACTTTCTCCAACTGACTGCTGTTGGGATGAAGTAAGAGATGAATTCTATCAGAAGCCGTCTAGTTTGCTGCAAAAAGCTTAGATATAGTTATCTTAGCAGGTGATTTCAATGCCCAAGTAGGAAAGCTTTGCCAGTCAGAAAAGTATATTGATGATGACGGGCCAACAACGATGCTCATATTCTATGCTTCTATTTAGATGAATACGTGTTTCTCGTTGGCACTAACTGCAAGCATAAGGACAGGACTTGCTTAAACTAGAGACCTCCATCATCAAATCAACAATGGACTCAAATAGATCCCATGGCTGTAAGATATAGATGTAGAGGGGTTGATAGAAGACACCCGCTCCTTCTGGTATACCTGTGTAAGCTTAGGCCTCACACTAGTCACTGCACTTGTATGCCTAAAATGTCAATAAACATAGAAAGCGGGCAACTACGAAGCCGCTACACATCCAACATGGCAATGATATAGAGTTGTTATTTAAGGAAGAAACAGTTACAAGCAAGACTCATCCTGAGGCCGGTCGGTCGGTTTTCGACATAGAACTTTGCACATATGTGCGCCAGTTCAAGTCGCCACACTCCCTCCTTGTAGCACACAAAGAAAGAGAAGAAAGTAGAAGAAATGCATAATATAGTCAGTAAACAGAGGTGTGAGACAAAGGAATAGTAATAAAAAAGAACAAAACAGTTTTATCGGAAGTCATAAGTCACAAGGAGTGGATGCATCTGCGCCACTGAGGACGATTTTGAGCCATGTCACCAATTGTTTCCAACCATTGGTTTTTACTGTCCCGAGGACCCCAACCAGGAAGTCTACATCTTCCTACGTGGCTTAGACTAACTGTTGTGGATTTCATTGACTGGTGCCATGTTTTCGTTTGACCGCCGCTAGCTCTTTTCCAACCTGGCCCTATATCAGCAAATATTTCCCGTCGAGGAAGGGCATATCCTGAGGGGGCCAGGCATGATATTTAGTCAGCTGTAGAAACAGTTACAAAGGATGTTGACAATCTCAAACCAAATTTTAGTAAATGCCAGTGAATTTCTCCTGTTTCAATAGAATTCACAAACGCAAGGAGACTGATTCTGGAGAAAGCTACCCAAAAGCCAGTCAACTAAAAGCCTCCGTAATGACTGAGAACAGTGGTGGGCGAAAAGCCAAAGACACGAGGAAGACATTGGCGGTAGGTAACACCAGACAACTGTTTAAACTCATTAAGGGGACGAATTTTAGTGACCTAGTGGTAACCGAAACAATTTTTGAAAGAGGGGTGCTTTCATTACCTCTCAGGATAGATAACTGGAATGTAAGAGGGAATATTTTGAGGAGTTATTCAACTTGCCTAGCGACGCTAAATTTCCCCAGCACCTAACACCTAGTTGAATGGGATGTAGATTATCGTCTTCCAACCCTAATTGCGGTTACAAACTTTCTCTAATGCAAAAGGAGGCGAAGCAGCGGGACCTGATGGAATAAGCCTAGAGGTGCTTGAAGACGGCGGTGACGAACTGTTGTCTGGGTTGACTAAGGTATTAGGTAATGTTTAGAAATCAGAGACAGTTCTGTTAGACTGGTGTAAACTACTGACTATAATTTATAAAAAGCAAGAGAAGTCCTCCTGTGATAGTCATCGGGGTATAAGCTTGACTAATAATAGTTTCTAAAGTTCTGAAGGCGGCATTTGACTCCCGACCTACAAGTACTATGTATGCGTTTGACCATGAAAGGAGCACATAGTAACCCACACTAATGAAGGCACAAAGCCGTTTAGTAGCTTACGCTATTGACACATAGTGATGACAACCTGTAGTGTTCGTCAGGGATCCCCAATTTTCCAATTTTTGTCTAATTTCATCATAGATTTACTAATAGACGTGACTCCAATAGACTTTAGCGGCTTAGGGATTAAATTGTTACCAGGGCAAAGTTTCATCGACTAAGAGTATGCAGATGGCATAGTCCTTCTAGATGAAGATGCTGACAAAATTTGGCCTTCTGAATACTTTAAGAGGAAATCTCGGTATGGTATGCACGTCACTGGTTCCTTTTAAATGTAAGGTGATGCTGCAGGACTGGTCTACATCGACTCCTGGATGACCACTTATCCGTGGAGTTGCATCATCTCAAATGGCCTGATTATTAGCGAAACCTTAACACGGATAGAACTACCAACTTACGGCATCTCTGGAGCAAACGTAATGTCCGACTATCTACGTAAGGACGTGTGTACTGTGCACCAGTTCGCTCTGTCCTTCTTTATGGTTGACTAATACACGTGGGTGACCTGAAGAAGCTACCCTTTTTTGAGCGTGGATATTTACGCTCTACCTCCCATGTTAAGTGATATATGGAGAGTAATACTGAGGTTATATACAGAGTTTTAGGTAAGAAGGGCGGGTCGATCGATGAGGGTGTGAAGTTACATTGACTGAGATGCCTCGAACACGTGTCAGGTACGATGAGTCACCAAATTTATCTTCGAGAAATGATAGCTGACTTAGGATTAGGTTGGGAAAATTAGGGGTTGGTATAAATCCATGTACTCTTCAACTGTAGCGACTTCAACCGCACACTAGAAACAATCAGTCAGTCAGTTTCGAACCTGGAGCTTTTTAGTAAATCTTTACAGGAAAGTCCGAACAGATATGAAAATGATTTCAAAGGTGTATATATACTTCTTTAAATTCAATTAGTTGTATTTTCTCTATTGTCAATTATCTCATGAAATGTACCACTTGTGTTTATTAATTTTGACTCAGTCAATTAGGCATAAAATAACTAATACTATCTTTGGGTAATTTTCAAATACATGAGATAAAATGCACGACAATATCATGTTGTACAACAAGTCACGTTAAGACGATGCACTTATCGCAAGAAATTGAGGGGAAAAAAAGCTGGAACATCTATATTTCTCCAATGAACCAAAAACTTTTGACTAACTTATGAATAAACGTGCACCAGCTCAAGTTAGCAAACTTGTATAAAACAAGAAGGGTAACGAGACTGCAATAGACAAACATAAGTGTGGCAAGCTACAATAGATTAGTTAAGGTTAGTAATGATGTTGAGAATTTTAACGACGATTTTAAAAAATTTACAGCCACAACAGCCACCAGTTCCCCTGAACTGTGTAAATTGTAAGTTGTGAATATGATTTAAGGTGTTAGCAGTTAGCCCAAGTAGCTGGCCAGAAATTGGGTGGTCTCAACTGGTTTGACTCTCTGAACTCAGTCAAACTGGGTACACTGTTGATGAGCCCGGACCCAGACGAGCGAAACAGTTGTTCTGTCTGGTTGGTTAGCAAGTACTGTTGGTTGCTGTGAATGATATACACCTATTCGTCCCAATCAATCAGCAGAATGTAGTTCTAATTATTAGAATACACCAGTCAGACGAATTTCCTATCATAGACCGGACTGGAAGTCAAGAAGATCCTAAAAGTAGTTAACTGCCTTTTCCCATTCCCTTTAATCCCTTTGAGTGTCTATAAAGACCTCGGTTAACCACAGACAATGTCTAAGAATCATCAGTAAGTCATATTAACTGTAGCATAGTTGGAAATCAATTAGCACGTAGACGGGAGTGACAGGGACGATTTCTCCTTTAAACTTAACAAGAAATATGTGAAAAATCGTATTTCGCCAAATGGAAGTTAAATGCATAGACAATATACAAGAGATAAGGTATGAACAGATTTCAAATCGGACAAAACTGGTAAAAAAATTGGTGAATAATAAGCATGGCCGGTCAACAGTAAGAAGAAGAGTAGGCGAGTTTCGGTCACATGACATATTTTTTTACCATTTTCACCGTTATTTAATCAATATTTTACCATTAACGAACCGATACTTTCCATTATTTAAAAACTACTTATCCATCTTAACCATTATTAAGGCGATATTTTATACTATTCACCATTATTTAGCCAGGATTTACTTAATGTATTGCCATCTGTCCAAAATTGTAACTATTTTAACCATTCTTTGCCCAACAATTTGTTGTAATATAGCTATGAAACAAAGAACTTCAGACAGGTTTAAACATGTCAAATGCACTAAATAAATACATTTTTTAAAACTTTAACTGTACCTTTGGTGATAGGACTTTGATCAATTCATTTAAGAACTTGAATTTCCCAAGTTCGGAAATAAACGTTGGACTACACCGTTTAGACAGAGATTCCAACAACTGAAACTAATAAAAATATACGGATTCTTACCGCCAATGAACTTAAAGCTTCTCTTTCATGCGGAGACTTAATCTTATGAGCAAGGAGACGTAGAGTAAAAACTGGACCATTCGGTTGAGTATCTATTAACTTAGCAATTTCATTCACTGTATCAGAATTATATTGATCAGAAACAGGATTAGTAGCTTTGCCTATACATTGGAGTGGTTATAACAGGAATATCGTAACTAACTCAGGAGTTTTTCGAGTTCATTCATCTTTTATTTTCTCATTCGCACGAAGCGTACTTCTTCAAAGAGAGCGCCTGAAATATTGTCTTCATAGGTCCAACATCCAAATGACAAATTCGATTTCTTTTCAGATAGTAAGGATAAGCTAATGTTGTTTACGTTAATCTTTGCAGTACATATCTCTAGTTTCTCTTTGAAAGCGTTCAATGACGGAGCTGTTACCACAAAGTCAAGTTACGAGTTCCAGTCGTTGACCAGTCTGTGGGAGAATCCATATTCCACAACTATTTTATTCGTCCTCGGTTTGAGCACCTTCTTGTGGTGACCTCAATAACATATCCCGAAGGGAGACAAGAGATTAGATAAGTCAACTCCTAAATCACACTTTAATATACGGTATGCCAGATTAATTCGCCTCTCCTCCTTCGGCGTGACAACGGGAAAAGATTTAGATGCTCCGTCCCCTTATCGTAAGGGATGTGTGAGATACCATTAACTAATTCGGTGCCTACCTTCTGCGCTCTTTCCAAGATTTGCGCCTCCTTGAAGAGTGGACTCACTGCCTGCATGCAGCATTCCAGATGAGGCCTGTTAACAATTGATACTTTTGCACTCGCTCGATTTTTGAATTGTTGATTGCTGCAATAATACACTATCGTATTCCTTCGCAAGTGCCTTTTGAATTACGTTGCGGATGTCGAGTAATCGCAACGTTAGGGACGAATGTTTAACAGAGTACTTGGAACATAGTTTTGTCTTATCATTTGAAAGCCCTTCGAAGTACCCATAGCATTTGTAAAGTTTTAGCTGCAGCTCTATCACAATTTGCCGTTGTTTTCCTAAGTTCTTTCGTCCCTTAACATCTGGCGGTTCTGTGTCCCCCAGGGAATATGACGTGTAATACCTCCGACTTAGGTGCATTATCGCGCTCATTAAGCTTATTTATCTAGATCGTTTTGTAATACTAACATATTAGCATTAATATTTACACTTTTCCATTTCTTGATATCGTCTGCAAATAATAAGGAACATGAAGTAAGAATTTTCCGCAGTTTATTTTTGTATAATAGCAATAGCAAGGGGCCAAGCGCAGTCCCCCGAAGTACTCCATTCAGTACTGCTTTCCACCCTAACATTGACCATCAGCCTTTACATGATCCTGGAAATAAACACTGTAGACTTTTGTGTCCGCAATGCTCCTCAGAAACTGTTTTGCAGAGGAAGTCTAATCAGGTGAATATCTTGGAACTAACTGTTCTAGAAGAAAGTTCCAAGGTTTTCCCCTCGAAATGAGGCACTTCCGAATTGCCAACTGTAGAGGGAAAAGTTACACAGAGTAACTTCACCATTTAACAAATGAAACATCAAAATGAATCCGTGGTAAGAATGTTTGTAACCCAATCTGTATGCACGAAAGATGGCTTGAAATAATCGCAATAAACCTCTGAGATTAGTAGAAAAGTTCAAAATCTAACCTTTACCTCACAAATATTATCCTCCATCCATTTCCTGTAATGCAAGTATAACCAATACGACAGCTGCTTGCCTTCATAATTTCTTCACTTCAGAATTGGACTTCAGGCAATTTGAAGCAAGATTAAGCAAGTGGGCTAATTTTTGCTTTCTTGGAATAAGATATTTCTTCGAAGAATTCACTTTTCATCTGACATCTTATCAGTGGAAGACAGCATTATTGCCACCAGGATAAACTTTGGAGCTGAATATCAATTAAACGATATCTTAATAAGGCGGTTATTTTTTTATTTTTGATTAGAGCTTGAAATTACACAGTATTTTTGGCACAGGTATGGAATTTTCAGCATATGATATCGGTAGGCCAAATTTTACAGGCCTACCATAGATAACAGGTGGGCATCGGCAAATGATCGAACCCCGGACCACGTGCATGGTCGGCGAGAGTCCTAACCACTGTGCTACTAACGCACTAATGCTTAATGCGTAAGTGCATCACCATGGTAGGACTTAGGGGTTCCACAGAATGCTCTTGGTGAGGGATGTTAAAAGTGAAGTTTTGAAGTGAGACAGAACTTGGAAGAGTGGTAAAGGTTCTCACTAACTTCCCATTTTCAACGAAATAATGCGCAAGGGTACTGCAGAATTTCATGACTGCTTCGACAGCCAGTAGGCTGCCTCAGTCTTTGCAATATCTAACATAGTAATTTACGTCATCAGTTTTGCAGTCGTAACACATCTAAGTTGTGGTATTTTCCGTCCTCTGAAAAGTGCTACGGCATTCCGCCCAACACAAATTCTATCAGTGCCTTAACCAACGCAGGACAAGCCTTTTAAATGTCATAGTTTCAGAACATTTGCGGAAAACTTTGTCTAGCTAGAAATCTAATTTTCTTAGTCGGCCAGGATATGGTAATTGTTCAAGCATCATATTAAATTATCTGCAGTGCGCTTATTCAACTCTTCTTTGTCCTTTTGGTTTGTGGCAAGTGCTCTAGTAAGCTGTGATATAATGCCAAGGTGGTGAGTTTCGTATGATGAGTATTTACCCGTTTCGACTTTGAGCGCTTTAGTGAGGGTGTCGTGATCCGTGTAGATTTTGAATGGAATGGTCTTTACCATATAGCGAAGGTGTTTAGCTGCTAGGTAGATTGCTTGCAGCTATCTGTGAAAAGTAATAATAATAATAGTATATTCTCATTTTTACATGAGGGACGCCAGTTTACAGGCATCATCAATTCGATAAATTACACATACGATTAGTAAGTATAGTTAGTAAATATAATAAGGTACATATTTAATCATTCAAATATAGGACACACAAGTTGTATAGGAATGGATAAGAATTATTTAAGTTACATATTTAAATTACATGATAACACGGTTGTTGTCATTTTATCTTTAGTTTGTGGGGAAAATCGGATAACTGGTGATTCAATGGAAAACACCAACAAATATAGAGATATTGACTTCGCATTAACAAAAAAACCCAAGTATGCGTTGGATGGATTACATATACTTGGGAAAATAAATAAAGCTTGAAGTCAATTCCCTCATATAACAATAAAATGCATCTCACAATAATATATTCCCACTTTATGCACTTGAGGGACTCCAGTTGACAGGCATCATCGATATCATAATAATGCACACATGAAGTAAAAATGTTTAAAATTTTCACTAACACAAAATATATATACAAGGGAAGATAATGAAATATTGACCGTAAGTACACTCTGGCATAATCCTAGGCACAATAATTATTTGAATATGTTGAACATGAGCGAAACAACTGAGTGTTGCGTTACATTCGGTCGATATGGTGGGCTAGTCACAAAAGTATAAAAATGACTTATAAAACGTTACTCAGTTTACCGTAAACGATGTTTTAAGCAATATAAACTGCAAAAGGCTCACCACAGCAGTTAGTATCCAGTTAAACATGCAGAGAAGTAATTGTAATTCAGCAACTGGTGAATTTTTTATTCTTTTCGGTCTGGAACCTGAGTAACTGCGAACCAATCCATACAAAAATGTCGAAAGAGGCATGCAGGAGCAGAGTTTTGCCATCGAATGAGTCATTGGGATCTGAGATGCAGCTATCAGCATGTTTTCGTCATTTCATAGATATCCAGATTTATTGACGCTGTATAGGTAGTGATTTGGATTTGTCATCATGATCGACATATGGACGAATATTCAAAATCGGAATACAACTTGTTTGCATTCGATGATCTCTGTTGAAAACGGGAACTGTGGATTTATGTATTTGCTCATAACTGTGGATAAATATCGCCGCATCCTTTTGAAAAGGAGACCAGTTGGTGGATTATAAATAATGTCCAAGTAACTTTATCTTCAGTGATTGTAGAACACCTCCTATCTGCTGGATTAAACCATTTAGAGAAGAATTCATCACTGCCAAGCTATTTTCCCACAGCCATATCCGGTGAGTCTACCATTAATGAAGGAGGAGCATGCGCATCAAGATATTTCAGAGTTGTGGCTTTCGCTAACGCCGTTCTCAGATGTTCAGTCGCGTCGAGTGCCTCCTTCGACAAACGGAAGTCTTTTGGCTTTCCCCGATGCACCGGTCAGAAGCTGCGTGTATTGTGCTTGGTTAGACATAAGGCGTCGATAGAAACTGATCCACCCTAGAAAACTTCGGAAGTGTGAGGAGGGCCTGGCTAGAGAATACTGCCTGATGGTGTTTTATCTGTTTGTGAACTGGTGCGATCGTGGCACCACCGGTGACGTGCCCCGGAAATTCTGTTGTTTCTGCCTCCAAAATGCACTTACTCTGACTAATTGTCATACCATTGTCTTCCGGTTTGATTAATACTGCCCGAATATGATCTGCATGTGTGCTTATATCCAGGCTGATGATGAACAGGTCGTCTGTGTACGATTTGGCAAGTGGTAGTTCACGCATAAAGTCATCCATAAATCTTTGAGAGATTCGCGAAGCATTCCAGTGGCCAAAAGGCGTGCGCGCGGACTCATATAATCCAAATTGAGTGGTAATGGCTGTTTTAGGTTTATCTTCCTCAGCCACTGGAACACTGTGATAGGCGCTAACTCAGTCCATCCTAGTGATTACTGTGGAGCCTAGAAGGCTACTAGCAAAGTTTAAAATGTGTGGTACCTGGTGTCCGTATGGAACAGTTCGCTCACTTGGGGCCCCGTAATCACTTCGTTAACCAGCTTGCTAGTTTTCTAGCCGGTCCCAAGCCCGGGTAAAGAGGTAGGGTTCGGCGTGGAGCTAGCAGTCCTACACCGCTAAACCCATCAAGCTGCTAGAGAAACTTGAAAGAGAAAATAATGCATTGAAAATACACAAAATTCAAATAGCAATCTTATTCTTCGCTAGAATCCGAGAGGCGAAACCACACAGCGGACTGGTTAAAGCCGGCCTTCGGGAAGCCAGTTAGCCGACGTACTTTTCTCGATGAAAGCAAGAGTAAGAACGGGGACGTGGAATGTCCGTACAATGTACGAGACTGGGAAGGCTGCTCAGGCAGCCAACCAAATGTGAAGATATGACAAGGAAGTGCTGGGTG